CGACTGGGAGGGTGGGTGCCAGTAATAGAAGGAAGCCTCGTGAGCATTTAAGATTGGGAGGCGATGGATGCTTTTGATGAGTAATTGCCTCAATATTGGGCTAAAATCACCAATCGGTTCCTAAACTTGCTAAGTTTGAACTTAGGTTCTCTCATACTGTAACTCTATAATTTTAAGCCCCTAAACCTCACAGGTTTGAGATTTTAACACCAATTTAACTGTAAAAAACTAAAAATTCAAGTTTCATCTCGTGCCAGTTACCCTCCATAAAAAGTTGCTACGCCACTCCACAAATCAATAAATTTGTTCCACCCAAACATGCCACGTTCTCTACAATTCCGCGTTTTCTTTTTCAATTTTCACTTTCCTCGTTACATTCTTCCTCTTGCTTCTCTATCTTCAACTGCTTTTGTTTTTCTTTTTTTCTTTTTTCTTTTTTTTTTTTCATTTCAAAAGAGTTGCTTTCACCAAAGAACCCAGTTAGGTTCTTGTTGAAAGGATAGGAAAAGAAAGAAGAGAAAGAAGAAGGGGTTCCAAGATTTGGAAACCTAGATTTAGGTTTTTGTATCTCTTATTATTTTTTGTTTTTTGTTTCACTTTTTATTTGGATGTTGATTGACAGGAGAAAGAATTTTATTAAAGTAGAATGACTTAAAATAAATTGTTGTTAGATATATATTTTTTTTTTTGTAAGTGATTTTTATGGATTAAAGGCACCAAAAATGCAAAAAAAATGTTAAGGTTTTAAATCGAAGGGAGGAAGGATGGTGGAATTTAAGGGTAATCTTGGTATTAAATAAGTCTTTAATTTGACGTGGCATGCTTGCATGAAATACATTTGATTTGATTATGCGTGGAGGTGACATGACATTTTTGAATAAAAATAAATAATAAATATATAATAGCACATGAGTTTGTGCCATTAAATTAGTGTTAAAATTTTAAATTTGTGCAATTTAGAAACCTAAAATTATTAAATTATAATATGAGGGCAGTTAGGTTCAAACTTAGTAAGTTTCGAGATTAATTGGTGATTTTTTCCCTCAATATTGTAGCTGTTAACACCATGTCAGTAAGGGTTCAAAAGCTAGATGGAGGGAGGGTAGCAATCACCTCACTTGTGTGGTAGTTGTTGATGGGATGGCTTGGTTTGGATCTTTTAGGATTTAATTGGCTAAATTTTAAAATTTTTGGGTAATGATATGAAAATAAATTTTTATATAATTTTTTAATATAAGTTTTATATATTATTAAATAAATATATAATATTATAAATTTTAATAAAATAAAATAAATCTTTTTCTCGTTATTCAGAGTTTATGTGCTCTCCAAAAATCATGAGTTGTTGCAGTTGAGTGTGAATTGAATTTAGTTAGCTTTTATGGCGGTTGATATCAGTAAAGGGCGGAGAAATTAGAATCAATTAGTTATAAAAGATTATATTTCCTTTTGTGGATTTTAAGGAGTGTAAAATTATACTTTTTAATTAATTTTTATTAAAAAAGAGCTTGATGATTTAATGATTCAGTAGTTTAATGTAAATTTTTTCCACCATAATAAGGGTTCGATTTTTTTTTTTCAAAACACTTGTCTTAATAAAAAAAATTTATTAAAAATATAAATATTTATTTTATTTTAATTAATTAATTAAAATTATTTATATATTAATAATATTAAAAATAAATAATTTTTTATAATTTTTTATATAAATTAATTATAAAAACTTTATTTATTATATATTTAACTTACCCATTTAGAGTTGATGTGAGAAAAATCCTCATAATTATAAGATCAGTTAATAGAAGTAATAGGAGCGGGTTTTTTCTTTTTATAAATATTTTCCTTGGATATATTCGAGCATACATGATTTACGACACTTTTTCCTCCTTTTATGATAAAATCAATTATTTATGATCTGATCTCTCTTAAAGGATCTTGAGCGCCGACGCAATCTTTTTTTTGGTGAAAATGAGCAATGGAAGACTTTGAGTGATTATTAAAAGGTGCAAACAGGGAATGGAGTATTTAACAAAAAAATATTTTATACTTCACACTTTATTTGATTATAAAATATAAAATTTTAAATAAAAAAAATTATTTAATATTGGAGAATTTTTACTCATTTAAGGTGTATATTAGAGTATAAAATACCCAACTAATTTTTTATATGAATAAATTTTTTTGTAATTTAAGATATTTTAGTTGGTAAAATAAGAATTATAATTAGATGGAGAGAATAACCCCTAATAACATAAGATTCATCTTATTTATTATTTTAGTTTATGTAATTCAAACTATATAATTTTTTTTATTTTTTATAATTTATATTAGAAATAACCGTTATTACCAACACGAACAAAATATAATCTTAAAATATTA